CTAAATATGCTATACTGCTGTAATTAACATTGCAAACGTGAGTTGGCTGACTGAAATAAATGTGTGTCCAAAGTGAAAGTAAATGTATTTTACAACTGTACAGCAATTAAAGCCAACTAAAGAAACATTGTACTTTTTCACATTGTTGGATAAATTAACCTAAATTAGTAGGCTAATATGCTTTACAGACAATTGCTTATATAATAATAATATATTATCTTAATTCAAAAGTAGGATGACAGCTTGTAACACAGGTAAGGCCACTTATAAGTTTCAGATAAATGCCTTTTGCCCTGGGGTGTCAAGCATTTAGCCTAGTTAACAGTCTAATTTAAGCCCCATCTTATCGGCCTTTCTTATCGAAAAGGAGTTGCCGATGTTAATGTTTAAACTTAACATCGCAATATCATAGTGCATCCCTACTTTGTTTCTCCTGGGCCTCCTAATGAGTTGCTCTAGAGGACATAAAATAAATCTCCACCACTCACTACTTGTCATCTTCTAGAAGACTAGTTGTGGTTCCAAAAAATTAGATCAATCTCCAACTCAGCTACTGCTGTCACTTGTCCAAGAACAAATTATGATTTGTGTGTAGTTTTGGGTCTCCTGAAAGAGTCGCACCCTGCTTATTTAATAAACACCTTCTTAATTTTAATCTCTGCCTTACATCTGATTGCATTTTCTATCGCAGTTTCCACATTTTATTTATTCCAACGAAAATGGAAGAAACACTACACTGACAGCTTGGATGAATTCATTTTAAAAGCTCAGTGTGTCTCTCAATAAAAAGTGATAGCAAAGTGCTTTTATATACTGACAATCCAATTATAGCTCCTTACTATAGGCCTTTGTCTTTCATGCAAGATTGTTGTGGCTGATTTTAGAGCCGGTTGGAACCTCAGGGCTGATAGGAAGACGGATGATGGATATTAAAGTCTGAGGCATGAAGGATAACAATGACTCATTTGTGGTATAAAAACATTTGTGTCTCCACATTGGTACTACAGTATTCTGTAATTTGTTGTTCTTTCTTAAAAGGGTTCTTCTACTTTAGAATTCTGACTCATCAGAAAATATTGTCTTAAAGTGTGAAGGCTGATTTTTTTTTTCTCACATGCCTTTGCATCTTTACTCTCTCCCTCTTTCTCTCTCACACTTGTATCCCTCTCTCACTTTCTTGAGCTGTCACCCAACTATGACTCTATTCAGGGCCTGGTCCCCAAACTGTCACTGTTAATCAATCATTAATGACAGGAGGCAAACTCAAACAAACTACTATTACGACTGACATGAAAAGTGCCAGTCAGACTTTGACAGGTTTGACTAGTTTGACATGTCTGACGGTCAGCGCCGGCCAGTGACTGACCAGAGAGAGACAGAGGGGAGACAGAGGGAAAACTGCTTGGAGGACTCGGAGCAGTCTCTAGTCCCTTTTTGGAAATGGCAGAAAATAAACAGCGTGGGTGGTACAAAGCCCAGAGGGGCTCTATGTTTTATTTAATAAGAAAGTTAAATTCAAAAAAGTCCTAAAGGCGGTGACGCACTCTTGACTCACAGAACTTTAAAGAAGTTTAGTCATGAAGAAGTAAAACGGCCCACAGCCACGTGTGGGCACTGAAATAGAAGTCGGTTCTCGCTGATGGTTATGGACTGATTTCTTAAAGTAACACCTGTTACCCTCCACACATTTATGAATATAATAGATCTTACTTGCCTTCTGATGAGGATACATTAACATGCCATCACTTACTGGTGCATTTTAAAAGCCCTACTTCCCCCTCGCATCCACCTGTGGGGTGTGAGTCTACGTTCCTCTAGAGGGGAAGTTGTTACTCCCCACTCCCTGCTACGCTAAGCTAGGTGCTTCCTTGTGGGGAGTGACGAGGTCAGAGACTGGGCACCAGATATCAACACTGTATGATGAGAATCACATTTAAAATCCCAACGCAGGGAACTTGTGGCTAATGGTCCTCTGCACCCAAAGGATGAATCATGATGAGATATTTCTAATCCTATATCCTACACTACATACCACAGTTTACATGGGTAGCATGGTGGATTTGGATTTTCAATAACATCTAAACACAAAATGAAAGGAAACTGAAAATTATACATATATGCAAAGAATTTCCCAAACCAGCAGTATGCAGACATCACTGCTTCATGCACCTGCCCTGAGTATATTGTGTTTCACACCCCTACTAACATCAAATTGCCTCGGACGCACGGCGGCGCTAGATCACTTCAAGCATCGATCCTGTCCCTGCATTGACTTGTACAATTTGAAACCAGACTGCAACTCATTCCGACCCTCCCTCCTTCTCTCTCTCTCT